ACCTTCTTCAAAGAGTTGCTGTAAGGACTGTTCATAATTATCTACGTAAATTACTTAGCATTGGGAATTAACAAAGGCAAAATGTTACCTGAAATAGGAAATAAAGGAGGAACACTGAGGCCTCTTTTATCTATGCTAAACTTTATCTGTAGAGGAGGGAAAAGAAATGTGTTGTCTGTTGGTGAATTTATTGCTTTGTGGTAGTAATGGATTTTCCTAAAGCTGTTTCCCTCTGATTATTAATAATCCATGTACAGTAAAAAGCTATTGTTCTTCAGTATGACTAACCAACCCTGCTGGAGGCATTGCTTATCTTCAGACCACAGCACATACTTCTTACTGGAAATACAATGCAGGTGCCAATATCAAGAGCATGTCCAAGCTTCCCTTCCTATTTTTCTTCCTTTCTCTCTTACTCCTTGCTTACCCTTCAGTGCACTTTTCTCCTAGATCTGTTATCCTTCCCTACTTTCTGATGTATTTCCATATCCTATACAGTATCATCTTATCTAAACTGAATAACTTTCAAGATCAACTATGGGCCTCATCTCATTGCCCCACACATACGCCATGGACTTATTTCCTGACTGGGATTCAGTTTTTGGTTACTAGTATCCAAGAAGGGAAGTGTAATGCCACACACTGTTTTGCATATCTCAGGATATGCTTGTGTGGTGTACTTAATCATACTACAGCTATTCTCTGAAACAGCATCTTTTTACAAGAAATTGACAATATGGTATGTCAGAGTTAAGGGTCATGGGGAAGAGAAAGGATTATATATTTTTATCTTACCTAAAGGAAGAGAAATTAAGTTAGGCTCTATAACACAGGAAATCTTTAGAACACAAGGAAAAAATAAAAATATTTATGTCTGGAAGGTTTTTAAATTATCCCAAACAAGATCATATAAGGCACATATATTCATTCTAAATATAGAATGCACAGGAGCACACACAAGATTATACTTATAAGGGGAACTCCAGTCAGGCTATAGTAACCATTGAGATGTTCAGCTATTTGCCCCCTCAGGGATAGAAACTCTAAATGGACACCAAGTTTCAGTTTCTCAATTAAAAAGAAGTGGAAGTAACTGCTTTCTTATCATTATATTTTAAGAGACAAAGACAAGGTCAATCAGGGAAATGAAAACAAGTTACCAGAAGTAGGAGGTGTGTGTGGAAGTGTGTTGTACGTGAGGGCACTAGGCATTGGGTTATTTGCTGCTGTGTCTGAATCTTTGCAACCGCCAGGCTCCTCTGTCCATGGAATTCTCCAGGCAAGAATACTAGAGTGGGTAGCCATTCCCTCCTCCAGGGGATCTCCCTGACCCAGGGACTGAACCCAAGTTTCTTGCATTTCAGGCAGATTCCTTACCATCTGAGCCATCAGGGAACTTGGTCAATGCTAAAGATCAACCCCAGTCATTTATTCATAACTAACTACCCAAGATTTGAACCCTTCAAAGGAACTAGGTAAGTCAGAGAACATGAAACATTTAAGACACTCAAACCCCTTCTTTGTGATAATGTCCTAAGGAATTGGATTGAGAAGCAGACAAAAGGGCTCTGGTTATAACCTTAGATACACCTGACCCCTGATCCAACCACCTGATATATAGCCCTTACTCTGCACAGGGGGTCTCCGTCTTCATGACAGTTTCCAAGCACCCACCAACTATTGAATGAACTGCTCTTCCCATCCGCAGAGGCACAGGAGCTCCTTACTAGAAAAATTTCCTTCAGAGTAGGAGCAATGTCTTTACTATCCATGGATAGCCACACTATCCATCTTTAGTGTGCAGAATGATTAGACCTGAGCATCTTTAAGTTCCTCCAGTCCAACACTGACCAAGAGAATTTTCTCCAATGTTGGAAATATTTTCTATCTTTGCTGTTCAACAGGGTGGCCACTGGCACTGGGTGTCTGAAATACGGTGAGTACATCTGAGGAGCCATATTTTTAATTTTACTTCATCTAAATCGGAATAGGTACATGTAGCTTGTGCCTACAGACAGACAGCAGAGCTCTAAACCAAGAACTGCAAATCAAATGTCCATAGGGGTCAGGCAGGTAGAGGAAGGGAAAAGAATCTCACTGGCTCCAGCTGACTGTTGCTGTGCAGGCAACTCAGGCTGGTGTTGCCAGATTGTTACTTTTTCAAAGGAAGCTGAAAATTGAATTTTTTAATTTGGCAAGTAAATTAAAAAAAATAATTTAGATCAATTTACGGGCCAAACCATGTTTTCAGGCAGTTTGTAATCTGTAATCTAGGCCAATCTGTAACCCTTAAACTCAAAGAACAGGGCCATTCTGCTGGTCAGTAGTGACCTAAGATTGAAATCCAAGCCTTCTGACTCTTGTTTTTTTGGTATATGGGATTTTAGTTCCCAAATCAGGGATCGAACCAGCAATCCCTGCAGTGGAAGCACAGAGTCTTAAATGCTGGACAGCCAGAAAAGCCCTTTCTGATTATTCTTTTGATACTCTTTCTACATTTTATGAAATCAACCATATCTAGTGATGGAGGCAGCAGCAACATCAGGGACAAACGCTCCTTCGTCAGAAGGTGTTGAAATTCATGGTTTATACATTAAGGACACAGAGTTCCTATACACTGGCCTCGATGGGCAAAGCTCTGAACTAGAGGCCAACAGGGCACAAAGAAGAAATAGTTCACAGGATAGTCAGACCCATAAACCATAAGCAAAGTAAGGTTTGTTACAGTGAACAAAAACCACCTAAGCAGGAGTCCAAAAGCACTGACAGCTGGCAGAGGAAAGGAAGAAAAGAGATTTGAGCCAGAACTTCCAGACTGAGTCTCAATGATTATGAGGGTGGGTCCCATTATTCAAGAATATTACAGGGCCTCCTTTTATCTTTGAGGCTTTATATGTACAGTCTCCTCTGCGGGCTTTTCCTTTTCTGGATCATCTCTCAATGTAAAGAGCCCCAAGGATTTTAGTGGCCTTCCTCTTCCCCACCCCACCAAGAATATGTTTTAATACATAAATATTTAACAGCACAATAGCTAAGCCAAAATTGCCCAATTTCAAAACTTCACCTGCATTCTTAAATTTACTTTTTATTCCTTGATTAACAAAGAAAAATAGGGCTTCCCAGAGAACGTCCTATCTGCACTCTCTTCTTAGGTGATTTAGGAATAAACTGCTACATTTATTATCTCTCTTGAGCTTTCCCTTGATTTTCATATTTAACTTCTCAACGTCTATACCTGGACAGTTAACAAACTTATCAAAACTAGTATGTTTAAAAGAAGAGAGTGCCTTTCAAACTATTTTCTCTGAGGAGTCATCCTTGGTTCCATCTTTTCACATACACTTCACATCCAATTTGGCAACAAGTTCTGCAAGTTCTAGTTTCAGAATACATTCTGAATTGAATTCTTTCATTTCACTGTCACCTCTCCCTAGGCCTACTGCAACAGCTGCCAAACAGGTCTGACCACGTGTATCTTTCTCTATCCAGGAGCCAAGAATGATTTTCTAAAACAGTAAATGAGATCTGCCACTCCTTAAACCCTCCTGTAACCCAACAGTCAAGCTCTCACCTTGGGCTAAGCTATGCTTGAGCAGGTCATGCCACTTCTCCATCACAGACCACTCTGGCTCTTGTTCTTCCCTTTCTGATCGAAGCACCTGACCTCGCCGTTTCCTTCCCGTTGGTTCTTTTCTCCACCTAGAAAACTTATTCCCTAGCTTCCCTCTTTTCTGGGACTTTTGCAAACCCGGCCTCCTTTGAACAGCCCTATCCGATTTAGAGTGGCCCTCCCCTCATCTTCTGGGCTTCCCTTGTGGCTCAGCTGGTAAAGAATCTGCCTGCAATGGGGGAGACCTGATTTCGATCCCTGGGTTGGGAAGAGCCCCTGGCGAAGGGAACGGCTACCCACTCCATGGGGTCGGAAAGAGTCGGACACGACTGAGCGACTTTCATTTCCCCCTCATCTTCTACCACTTCACCTTATATTACTTCCTTTGGGACATTTCTTACTGATATCTACCCTATTGCTTTACTTTTTAAGTTACTCCCGGACTCGAAAAAATCACGTAGCAACGTCTTTTGTGGACCAAAGGATTTAAGAAGCTAGTTCTCATTATCTTAGAAAATCTCAGTATCGTGCAGGGTACTTGTTTGTGTCAACCTTCCTCGGCTAGACGCCTCGCCTACGGATTTGCCCCTATTAATCTCCCATCCACCAATACATTGGGGGAGTCCAAAGCATTCAGAGATGGGCCCCAAATCGGCATTTCAGCGTTCCCAAACCAGGGCTCCCCTTCCTGGCCCTCAAGCCGCTTCCCTCAGCAGGTTCCTGAGGCGAGCGGCGGTGACACGAAGCAGCCCTCGCGAGGCTGGGGTCACACAGGCTCGTCTCCTAGCAACGTCGTACCCCCCACCCCCACCCCATCCCTGCCCCTGAGGAGTCCACCCCTTCCCCCAGTTTCCCGCGCCAGGAGTCGGCGTCTCCATCCTCAACACTCACTCTGCGTCAGTCCAGCCTTCCCCCACCCACAGAAGCACCGCAGCCTCCGGCAGGCTGGGAGGAGGCGGCGCCGGGAGCGCAGCTGAGCGGCGGCGGATAGAGCTCTCTAGCAGGTCTGGTAGGCCAGACCGGACCAAACCACCGGACGGACCTCTGTGGGAGCATTAGTCCCAAGTCGAGGGTAGGCTCGACCCTTCGTTAAACTTCAAACTCTAGATCACGGTCCGCCGTATACCCAACAAGATAGCCAAGCTCATCCTTTCCTTATTTCCCTTTTCCCCCTTTCGTTCTCCTCTCGCCACCCCATTACAGCGACAAAAATGGTCCACTCCATCTCTTCCTAGCCCTCCCTCGGCGTTGCTAAGTCTTTGCCCTTACTTGGCGACAGCTTCGTACGCCTTTGCGTACGTCGTGACGCTAACTGCCACTCGTTCCCTCCTCTCTCCTTTCCTATTCCGCCTGCCGGAGCGGGCGGCCTGCGGGGTTACCGGAAGTGATGATGCAGGAGGCGATGGAGGGGGCGGGGCTTCGGGGAGGCCGCCGCTGGTGGGCGGCAGATGAAGGGGAGGCGGCGGCAGTGGTGGGAGAAGAGGCGGCGGCGGCGGCGGCGGCGGCGGAGGGGGTAGGGAACCTGGAAACGCGAGCGGGGATGGTAGGTGTTTTGGACCCGCCGGGCCGCCGTCGTTTCCAGAAAGGGTTTGACTGGAGGAACCTCTGGAGCAGCTGTGAGTTTGAGGGGGGGTTTGAGGAGAAGGGGAGGCTTTGGGAGATGAAGGGGCGGGGGTTGGGTACCTTCGAGAAAGGGAGGGGGGGTGGAAGGGGAGGCGTGGAAATCAGCTCCTTGTCTGGACTGGTCCCGCTGGAAGGAGAGGCTGTGAGGGGAGCCTGTGGCGTGTCAGCCGCAGGGCTCAGAAAACTTACCTACTGTCCCTGCCTCCTCACCGCCAGCACCCCTCAACCCAGGGCCTGGGGCTCTGGGGGCCGGAGCTGCCCTGGAGGGGGTACAGACTCTGGTCCTCTGCGCCTTGTAAGCGCCGTGAGGTAGGAGCCCAAACGAGAGGTGGTGGGTGAATCTCCAGCTCCCTCCGCCCTCATCTACCTCCCCACCCCCATCTTCCTCTTTAATCATTAACAGCCCTGGAATTAAGGGGCTCAGACCTGAAGTCCTTCCTATGCACCTTTGCTATATACGATAACCATCTGTGCCTGAGGTGATGGGGCTGGAAGCTTTGCCCGTATCCTGTATAGGAAGTGGGACAGAGTGACAAATGTATTGGGGTTTTTTTCCATCCCCCCCCATCTTCTCCCGTGCATAGCCCTCCTTTCCACTTTAATTCTCCGTGACTAGGTGGTAACTCTGGGTTTTTGTTTTTTTTTTTTTTCCTTTATTGTACTTGGTATCTTGGTTACCTCTTTTGAATTTGGTGTTCCGCCTCCATCCCAGGTCTTAACTGCAAGCTTTGTAATACTTCAGTTACAAGCTGTCTCTCTTTGGGAGTACCTCTCAATCCCCGGTCGCTCCCGATTAAAATGAGCGTTTTACCCTCTGAATACTGGAATTCCAAAGCCCTTGCAAGGATTCCTAAATGGCATCATAGCCCAGGAATCAAGGTCTCTTGCTCTAAATACTTTATGTGTGAGGAATTTAAATGTTGTCAACTCTTTCCAAAATGATTTGATGTTAGGCTAATTCTAGATTTCTTGTTTCTCTCCACCCACACTTCATGATGCACTTTGGAGAACAGAAAAGCCCATGTTACTCTTTTGTTTCTACAATTGGACAATAGCTCTCTTATTTTTTCTTTTGTGTGTCTGGCACACAAGTCTTCAGTGACACATTTGGCTTGTGCAGATTTCCATCTTATTTATTTAGCTTATTCTTTGTGTATAGGTGGTCTTACATGAGCGTGATTTGCTTAGTTTTCTTTCAGGGAAGAATACAAACCAGTAACGGATGTGAAAAAATTATTTAGCAGAGAATGATTCGAAAAGAAGGTCTCTTCGTTGATGTTTTGTTGGTTTAAGGGGGAGAAAAATGTAGTGCTTCTTTAGCCTGTAGTAGGGATTTCAGAGTGAAGTGTAATGATTCCTACTTTGGTGTTGATATTTTCTTTGGAAATCCTCTTGAGTCTGGAACTGTTTTCTAAAGAACTTTAAGAGATGGTTCCCAAATTTTAGGGATCCTTTGATGATTAGAAAGTGTCTGTAAATCCTGTTCCTCTGTAACTGAGTTTATGTGCATATTGCTAGAATTATCGTAATGGGTTCCATCCTACTCATTAGGGCTTTCAGGCCTGATAAAACAATATTTAATGCTTTCATTGTACAAGTAACAGCATGTTTGGATGTTTCACAGAAGTGCAACAAAAGGAAAAAATGACTACTGTTCTCACCTTAACTGATTTGGAATCATTGAATAAAAAGTCCAAAATTCATTCATTCAACAAACATTTATTGACAGGCTACTAGTTGCTAGCCAGTATTTTAGGCAGTGGGCATAACATAGCAGTAAGGTCCATGCTCTCATGGAGCATTGTTGAAGTGGGGTGGGGACAGATAAATAAGCAAATTGGGTTTTGATAAGAGCTGAAGAAAATCAGCTCTTATCTGTGATTGTGAGTGTTGTGATAGGATGTGTCTGATTGGGATACAGTCTAGACCTTTCTGAGAAGGCAACACTGAAGTTGAACTTTAAATAAAAAGGAGCCAGCCTTGCAAAAATACGGGAGGAACCTTCCAGGTTTAGGGACTAGCTAGTGCAAAAACTGGGCTGGAGTGTGGCAAGTTCCAAGGAGTGGGAAGAAAGTGATGGTGAAGAGGAGGTGGGGGAGGATTAGGGGTAGAAAAGGCTGTAATAGCTAGAGCCTAGTGATCAAAGAAAAGAGTGAAGAGAGTCTAGGTCAGAGAGATGAGGCTGGGCTCAGAATAGTTAGGCAAAATAAGAGTGAGAAGGATATAGAAAATGATGTTCCTTTTAATTCTGTTGCTTTTCCTAGAGTCTTGCCACATACTGTTTTAAGGATACTCTTAGAGTATTGTCTGGAGAAGGGAACAGCTACCCACTCCAGTATTCTGGCCTTTAGAATTCCATGGACTGTATAGTCGGACACGACTGAGCAACTTTCACTTTACTTAGAGTATTGTAGGGAAAAAAAGGTCACCCTGCTGAGAGTGGGAGAGGAGGAGGCAGTGGTCATCTGGGTCTTTTCTGGCAGATGAATCTCAAGGCATGAGTTAAGAATTCGGTGGGATGTTCAATTGAGAGGTTGCCTTTTTCCTTACAGGATTTGTCTTATATGCTTTTTAAAATTGCATATTGGGTACCCCAAATGTGTTCTAGTATATGAATCCTCTTTTGCTTCTAGCTGTGAATTTAGGGCTGAAGATTGGGCAAATGATAATAATATACCCCTGTTGGTCTACAAGATGACCATTACAATCTAAGTTTGAAGTTGTTTTTTGTAGGAAGGCAGATTTTATGTTGCACTATTTCCACTTTTGTCTGGTCTGCCTGATGACTAATAACTTTCAGCTGAGGTGTGTGCGTAGGTCGGTGCTAAAAGTTCACTCTGGATTACATTAGATAAATGACCATTGTGGGCATAATCCCACTCTGTCGGCATCTTTGGGCTGGCATGTAGCCAAGTGATGTAACCTACTTTTGCCTTCTGTTGGGGCTCTTCATCTCTAGTAGCCAGTTGCTTCTCAGCCTCACCTTGACCACATTGTCCACTTGAGAGGCCCAATCAGGACTCCTCCTTGATTTGGCCCTGTTGAGTCAAATGTTTCAGTGGGCTGAAACAGTTAGAATATGCTGTTTTCTTCCTTTGAACACCACAACAGTGACTAGTGTGTTCTTTGAGTGAATTGGCTCTTTGAGCTAGGCAGTTGAGAGACTTAAACGTTGCTTGGGCTGTTTGTAGTAAAGTTAGTATCAGAAATGCTAAGTAAAACTTTTTCGTGTTTGCAAAAAATGAATCAGAAATTTTGGACTTGTCACCTGTTTTAAGTTCTAGCATGGGTAGATGGATTATCAAAAGTAACTTGAATAGTCCTGGGCAGTCCTGGGGTAATGAAGGGGTTGGAGTTGAGCTTGAACTGACTTACTGAATCCCAACTTGAATGTAAATAGGAAGTCTTTGGTTAGCAAGCAAGTGAACAGCTAGAATTAGGCAAACAATAGACTCTACCCTTTATACTGCAGAGTAACTCAAAGAACTGAGAATTGATTATATATGAGGGCTTCCCTGGTAGCGCAGATGGTAAAGAATCTGCCTGCAATGCAGGAGACCTAGATTCAATTCTTGCATCAAGAAGATCCCCTGGAGGAGGGAATGGCTACCCACTCCAGTATTCTTGCCTGGAGAATTCCATGAACAGAGGATCCTGATGGGCTACGTCCATGGGATTGTAAAGAATCAGACATGACTGAGTGAGTAACACTTTCACTTACACACACATACATACGGGCTTCCCAAGGGGCTCCAGTGGTAAACAACCTGCCTGCCAGTGCAGAAGATGCAAGAGTCTCGGGTTCGATCCCTGGATCAGATCCCTCCCCTGGATCCCCTTGGAGGAGGGCATAACAACCCACTCCAGTATTCTTGCCTGGAGAATCCCATGGACAGAGGACCCTGGTGGCTGCAGTCCATCAGTTTGCAGAGTTGGACAGGACTGAAGTGACAGTGCACATGTGCACACACACACACATGCACACATGTGGCTTTGGTCTAGATTGTATCCTAATGTTGGATTTTAATCTAGCTAATGGATTATTAAGCTGTCCACTATTCATCTTCAGTTATAACTCAAGTATGAAAATACCCTGTAGGCTGAAATTTCATCAGTCAGTTTGGAGAGTGGTGGTTCTTTTCTAGTTTGTGAAATGGGTCGGATGGGTAGGAGGGGAACTTGAATACAGGGAGAAGCCATTGACTCCTGCATTGGCCACTAATTGTGTTTGGGGAAAGAATCTACAAACCTAAATGAATTTAGATTCTCAGAGCTGAACTGGCCTTTTAATGAACTGGCCTTTTAATCTAGAGTACCAGTGGGTCTGTTAAACTCCTGGGGCTTTTGGACAAACTCTTCTGAAAGAAGAGTTGATACCACTTATTTTTGGAGTTGTGGGTTTGCATTGCATTAGATGACTTACAATTAATCTGATTTTGCTACTATTTTGTGCTGCAGTAAGAAGAGTTAATTGTACACTGGCTGCCAGTTGTTTTAAGGTAAAGATGTGGTAACTCTGAATGAAACAATGGTAATTATGTGGTGACTCCTATTCCCCCAGCTCTTGATTACTCACAGTTACCTCTTTGTGTCTATTTACAGATGTTGATACCAGTGAACCAGGATCAATTCTCCCTAAATGTTGGAACAGTGTTCTGAAGCTCTCTGCACAATGGACCAGAGTGTTTCATTGAGTTAGTGTCTTTCAATTCAAATCTAGTTTTACCAGTTCTTATATCTGTTTTTCTTGGTGATGGAGGAACCTACTTATTTTGGGGGAAAAAGGAGATTACTATAGCACCTGACTTGTTCAATTAGTGAATGATTACAAGTAAGAACTTAGCATTTTAATTATCTGAAGTGGCTCAGACTAATCTTTTGAAGTTGTGATATGTAGAAAGGAGAAAATGGGAGGGGAGAAATGCCAAATCCTCTTCTTTAAGATGTGTGCAGATGAAACTATTTAAATACCATACATCAGAATAGGGAAGCTCAGTAAAGGGATCTTGAGGTGGTGAATAGCCCTTGTACCAGAATAAATCATCATGGTCAGTGAGTGCCCTGATACCAACCTGATTATATGAAAAAAGTAGGCTTCATGTTGATAACTACTGACTTCCTGAGGGCCTGTCCTTGCTCAGCAGTGTCCTTTGACTGAGGTGTGTTGTTGGGTTTCGGGCTGGATTGCATCATGGAAGCTTAGGTTGCATACTGCTGCAATGCATAATCCTGGTTCCTGTTCTCCCTGCTCTGCTGGAGGATTCAGTCTCAGGACCTGGGGACTGAAAATGATTTTGTCACCACGGCCTGAAG